GCGTAACAATGATATCTCCCGCGGAATTAGACGCCGTATCCACTAAACTAACTGAATGGAAGAAACTAGCTGTAAAACTAGGCTACAAGCCTGACGAGATACAGTACTTTGAGACGGAAAACGCAACAGACGAAGCGAGGGCTAAGAATATGTTGCAATTGTGGTTTGATGATGATGAAGACGCGTCAGTGGAAAATCTCCTCTATATTATGGAAGGTTTGAAACTGGTCGAGGCTTGCGAAGCTCTTAAGAATGCTAAATGACATTCGCCGAAGCGCTGCAGACTGCACAAATCTAAACTAACGAAGCGTTGGTACATCAAGTGAAGTTCTGTAGTCATTAAATAAATAATTATAGTTACATTTTAAGGTCTTTATGTGTTTTATTTCAATCCTTGCATTTTAAAGTGAAGGGACTCGAGACATCTTGATACTTTTCTAAATAGGACTTATGCAAAATTATTTTATATCAGAAATTGAATTATAATGCATAAAGACCAGTATTCTTGATGCATAAATGATGAGAAAATCTATAAACATATTTTTGAAATAGGTTTAAACCAAAAACAAATACTGGAAACGTAGCAGTTTCCTTAAATTGGTAATATTTCCTGGATCGGCGTATAAAAGGATGCTGAAGGGGATTAGATTTATAAAAGTATAAAACAATGTCGGCTGCTCCGAAATTATAACTTGCACGCATTTCCTCATCGCGGCTGACTCACGGCGTGCCCAAAACAGAACTTATTGCGTACAAAGTTTTCTATTTAGCACTTTGATACGCGAAAATAGTCTTTAACACTACGTAATAAGTTATTTAGCGACTGTGTAGTTAAGTTTGCAAGATTGCGAATTTTCCAGTATAAGCTGAGCCGCCCCGCTGCCCCCTTCCTGTCATTTCCTGGACGAGAAGGAAGAAGTTTGAGGCGCGACGTGGGTCAGGATTCGCCGGACGCCGTCTTTGCTGCTGCCGGTGTTTACAGAATCGCGGAATAGCTGCACCGAAATTAGTTTGAAACGAATACGTCAATGGGTAGACGGGGCGTGCTTAGATCGCGAGCGGTCGATCCTAAAATATTTATATTTTTATGATTCGATACGGGACTAGATATTTTTATATAAAATTATAATGGCTGGCCTGTGTTGCGTGCGCACGAGTTATGCCCGCCGTCGCTTGCGCATCCCGGAGAATATCTGCCTGAATTTAATGTAAGTACAATTTTTTGCTATATATCTTGTATTTTATACACAAAATGCATTCTTTTCTTTTTAAATTGACGACATAGTTAAAATTGTATATAGTTCTTTTTTATTTATTTAATGACATTAAATTTGCAATTACCTTATATATGCAGTTACCTAAAATTTCTTGATAGGGAAATGTAAATAACAACATTTTAATTATTATTTATGTCATTGTAATTTGTGTGTTTTATTTTCAATTACTTTGTTGCGTAAAATAAAATAAAGGAACTATAGGAAATTATAATTTTTAAACAACCTATAAAAATTCCTTACCACATGTAATTACTAGACTGCGAAATTAAGTCTTCTGAATACAGTATCAAGAAAGCTTTTTTGTTTATTTGTGCCTATTACCGTCAGATTTCATAGCCCAAGCAAATTTATAAAAACATGTTGCTATCAAAGTTTTGGAGAGAAAATGAGAAAAATATTGTCATGTTTTTGAACAGATTTTTCGACAGAGGAAACTCATTGTTAGTATGTATCGTAAACTTAATCACAACTGTTCAACAAAGTTAAATTGATTTTAAGAATAACTTACAATCTCGGATTTTTTAATAAACTTATTATTGTTCAAAAGATACCAAAGTCTTATTTTACTGAAACAATATGTAAAGTACCATTAAATTAGTTTCAAAATTCATTAATCGATTCTTTTCAAAAACTCTTATTGTATATAATACTAGCGGACCCGACAGACGTTGTCCTGTCTACACGTATTTAATTTGAATACATTAATATGAAGTTAATATTTGATGAAAATTGTGAATCTAAACCATTCCCAGATCCCCTTGAACACACACAAAAAATTTCATCAAAATCGGTCCAGTCGTTTGAGAGAAGTTCAGTGACATACACACGCACAGAAGAATTATATATATAAAGATATGTAGGATAAGAAAAACTTTTGCAACAAATTACCATTCGCTTATATTTACAAATAAAAGATGTTTACAATATAGTCATCATATATCTTTTGTTACAACATATCTGATTTTCAGTGAGATAGTTTAAACATTCATTTATCGCACGTCGTGAAACGTTTGTTCGGCTTACATATCAACTAGCAACCAATATATTACAAGAATCGTGATTTAACTTTAACATATACTGGCCTTTTTATTATCATTGTAATACAAAAATTAAAAACAAATTTAATTTTATATTTTGTAAAGCTTTGAGTTTCCCAAACAGATTTTATCGTAAACTTCTCCAGAAAATGGCTTCGGGTAAATGCTATTATACATTGCTACTTCAACTTATACTTGTAAAGCCTAAACTTTACAATAATACAGGCTGTCGCCCGCGACTCCGTCCTCGCGGAATGAAAAAAAAACTTAATAAGTAGCCTATGTGTTATTCCAGACTATGTTATACAACTATACCAAATTTCAGCAAGATCTGTCCAGCTGTTCTTGAGATATCTTAAAAAAAACATGAATCCATTCATCTAAACATTTGCATTTATAATATTAGCAAGATAAGAAGTAAACTGCCTGATCTTCCGAGGACTACGGGGAGTCCAGCAGGAGCACTTTTGAAAACACTGATGTAAAGTCAAATAGTCAAAAGAATTTAGACTTTAAAGTATGAACTTTTAGTATAATTTAAGCTTCGTATTGTCTTTGTGTAACAAAGAATTGTGCGGTATTTTACATATGTAGCGTATCAGTTGAAACGATTTATTGGTTGTAGAGCACTTCAAACTAAACATCTTTACGCGAATAAAGTTGGAGGATATTTTTGTATGCCGACGCACCGGGCACGCCAAACCATAAACTTTTTACGATGATATGATCTCACTAAATACCAGCACTCGGATATTTAGATTAATCTTGTTTCCATACTAAATCGATATCATTACATTTTAAGTGAAAAAATCCAAGTTAAAAATAATAAAACTGTATATTGTAATCCACCATGTTTTGTTGAAAAATAGATTTAAATAAAATGAAATCATATAATAATATAGAAATCATCATCATCGAACGCATTTTTTGTCGCAACGTTTTTTTTATATCATATGATAAGAAAAACTATTACTGCCTGTGTTAAAGACATAAATAGCGTATAAAGATTTACGGGTTTGTTTTTTAGGTTATTTCCTCTAATGCATTGGACAACTGCGTCTCTATTCAATCATTGTCTATGTTAGTTTAGTTCATTGGCAAATCAAAATGTAAGGACTGCAGGACTATATTTGACTCTGGAATTAGAACGAGTCCATTCATACGTCGGCCAATCACCTTTGTGAGGAATAATAAAAGCAAACTCTGAGTTTCTATATCTAAGTACGACAATCTGAGTCTATGCAGGGTAAACATTTTTCATAATTACGATTTACTTTAATATTTAATTAAACTAAAAAAACTATGATTTCAGAACAAAAATTATATTTTTTAATAACCCTGTTGCTACATTCTAACATACTTTATTAGTTTTAACCGTTCGAAAATCAGACTCTAGATGCACTTTGAAGTTTATAAACCTAGCAACAGTTGCGCGAAATAGGTTTATTATAGGCAGGAAGTGCTTTCACAAAGTGCTCTCATAAAATACCAATATAATTAAACTGTACATCTTGTAAATAGTCTTGCCAACTGAAGATATTATTGTAAGGTAATTTATTTACTAAATGCGCACTAGGAAACTAATATAAAGTAATACACATGTTTCAACTTTTCAATTAATATTATTAACTCTAGCTATCGTCTCCGTCCGCGCTGTATAAAAAGATCTTAGTAGCCTATGCAGCCGTTTTGGAGATACCTACAAACAAACATCCATCAAATCATCTAACATTCGCATTTATAATATTAGTAAGATTAAAGCTAAGCTACAAACTTAAACAAAAGCTTTATTAAGGTAAATTAATTTTTAACTAGTTATTCTCAGGTTAGTTTCTGCTATTTTTTTTGAGTTAGTATTTTTAATAGCATCTTAGTTTAATTAAAATCCTATTTCACATATATGTATACATTATGTATTTTTTTTACAGTAGACGTATATCTGAGTAATATAAATATATCTTTGATAAACATTCCTTAGGTAATAATTCTGAAACACGATTCCGTCGTAAAAGAACGTAAAATAGTGCATACGATAAAATTATCTTTGAAGCAAACCCTTTTATGTGCAGTAAAATGCAATGTTTATTATTCATTTACGTTTACAAACGTAAAATTAAACGTGTCAGTTATATTATTTATGTCACACTTTTCAAGACGAAATAAAAAATTAACATGATACTGTAAGATAGAAGGATATGTCTATGGTTAAATTCACTATTACTACACTATTACTTACTTATAGCTTTCTGTGTCCAAAACCTCAGTTTTACAAATTATTTGTATATCTGTTTTTTCAAAGATAACGAAAGTGATGTTTTCTACAGTGATTTTGGTTTCAGGAACTCACATTTTCGTTAAATAAATCTACTGAGTTCAACCTACATTTGAAGACCTTGTTTATTTCAATAAATGTGAAATGTTAGTACTGAACAGACATTTTGTAGAATAACCCCATTGAGAACGTGTCGAATTCCGGTCATTTACTTCTTACAAAGGGACATACCTAAATAACGTGGTAAATACCCAGTAAACAGACAAAGGTGATAGTAAACCTAGTTAGTAAAACAGCGTAAGATCTCCAAAAGGAAACGCGTCAAAGCTTGTTTTAGTGTGGCGGAGATTTTAACGATTGTGTTATGTTTTCTTTTCTTGTTTAGCAACAGACTAATATTAACACCAACCAAGAAAAGGAAAGAAACAGGAGGAAGCGACTATGGTAGTAGTTTTGTCAAATTTAAGTTCATTAATCGGAGACTATTATGTGCTACGTAACTTTTACGTAGCCGCGTAGCGACCCTAACGCGCGTAGCATAATGTCTACAGCGTAGAGGCTTTTGCTAGCTCAGGATCTACGACAATCATGTCTTAAAAAAATGTAATTCTGTGTTAAGTATAATTAAATATAATTGCTATACAAAAAAGTACAACGCCGTAAAAATAAACATAACATCGATATAATTTAAAAGCAATGTATCACGTTCGTAGTACAAAGTCCAATCTGAAATAGAACATCGATGTTTCTATTCCATGCTGTTAGTGATAAAATAAAAACTAGGCC